CTCAGGGCTGCTTTTCTTTTGGGTCAGCTGACTATTCCCAAAGCTGCAAGCCCTCAAATTTCAGGAACTGAAGAGGACAAAGGGGATGGACAGCAAAAATCCCTTTCTGGCTGATGAACACCCTAACACTGCTGACTCCAGCTGCCTGTGATGGCTTGAACTACTCTCTGGCCTCATTCAGACACCAGAAACTCCGGTAAAAGTCATCAGAAGTTTAGGTCCAGCAAGACCAAGTTTTGGTGACTTTCAGTGGAAAAGAAGGCTCTCAATTAAGAATAAGTTTAACTATTATTGGGTGACCAGCAAAATGCAGGAGCTAAGGCGGGATGTTATTGCAGGATGGAGCAATTAAAGGGAAAAATGTGATTTCAGGCTCCTAAATGCTGGGAAACGTTTGTAAGACAAACAGGAGGTGAGAGAGCTCTGTGAGTCTCGGGAGCTGCTCTCATGCAGCAGCCAGACGTCGAGCCCAGACTGTGTCCCTGCAGCAGCACCAGACACTGCACACTTCAAAAAATCAGGGGAAGTGAGATGATCCCAGAGAGGAACTTTTCATTTTCTTGAGTATTTGGCGTTTTTTTCCCTCAGAATCCCCACCCTTCCCAGCCCAGTGCGATTTTTCCAGACTCCTTAAAAAAATTAGATAGATATATATATATATATAAAATCTGTAGCTCAGCAGCAGAAGTAAACTTTAGGCAGGGGATAAACAACGTGCTCAGCCACAATGAAACTCAAGGCAAAGTCTGTCTGCTCTGTTCATAGCGCTGGTTGGAAAACCAGAAAGCTCCCAATTAACTTTCCTGAAAGATTTTTCTTTGGGAGCAATTAATAAGTGCTTTGCAGTTTGACTCGCGTTATTAATTGGATTGGGGGGGGAGTTAAAAGCGCAAACGGTCTATATGATTTTTTTTCTAGGGTCTGTAAACGAAGCTAACAGATGGAACTGACCAGTAACGTGCATCTGGCAAGCCGGGTTTCTTATAAACTTTCCTCCAAACAAAACCATTTTGGTGGCTTTGTTGTTGTTTGAAACGAAGTTGGGCTCCGGGCTGGCTGGGAGCGTGGCTGTGGGCTCGTCTGGGCTGCGTGCGCGTGGGGAGGGAGGATGGAGGGGGAAGGGGTCGGGACGGGGGAAGATCTCTGGCAAAACTGCTCTCCTGCAGCGGGGTGATCTCCTGGCAGCTCGGGCAGCGAGCTGGGAAGGCGCCGGCCCTTGCGCCGGGCGCGTCCTGCCCGCGGCGCTCGGAGCGGGGCATCCCCGCACCGCGGCACCCACGGCACGGAACAGGAGGGAATGTGTCCCCACATCGCTCTCTCACACCCGTGGTTTCCTGGAAATGAGATAAATGAGATAAATGAGTGCGTAAAGGAGCAAGTGCCTTGCGGGGTGACTCGCTGGGGAGCGCGGCGGGGCTCGGTGCGCTCCGCGCTGCCGCTGCCCCGCTCGCCCTGGCCCTGTCCCCTCGCCGTCTGTGCCCCGTTCATGCCCTGAGCCGGGCTTGCTCGGCCACGTCGAGGAAAACCTTTTCTCATCCCTCCTCAAAACAAAACCAAGCCACACAGACGGTGCTAAAGTGGCACAGCGCAAATAGTCAAAGTCAGCAGAGATGCGGAGCGCTCCGCCATGGATGTTTGGGAGGGATTTTGTCTTCCTTCTCGAAGGGAAGGAACACCTCTCCTGCCTCTCCCTCCTTTAGGAAGGTGTGCTCACGGTGTGTTGACTTTTTTTGTCAGGTCTAATCCTTCCTGTTCAAGGCTGGTGTGGCTAAATCCACTGCGCTCTCCACACTCCAAAGAGGTGTTGGAAAGGGCAAAGTTTGTTCGCATCATTAGGGTGGGGTTTGTCCTGTGGCATTTTTCAATTCTCTCAAGTATCAAAATCTTGAGAAGATTAAACAAAATCTGAACTTGGAGAAAATTCTGGATTTTTTTTTCCAGTTATATATTGGGGAGGAATATTTGTGTTCCATTAGCAGAATTAGAACTGTAGGAAATCCAAATGAGAAGAAAAAAACAATTCCTTCCTTCCTTCCTTCCTTCCTTCCTTCCTTCCTTCCTTCCTTCCTTCCTTCCTTCCTTCCTTCCTTCCCTCCTTCCTTTCCCTCCTTCCCTCCTTCCTTCCCCGCTAGGCCGGGCGGGGCGGGGGGCTCGGGTGGAGCCCCGCTCCCCAGCAGCGCTCTGGAGAGGTGTGATGTGTTCCCGCTGCCCCCCCGCCCGCCGGGATACCCGCACTTTCCCATCTCAGACAATGCATTTCCATTCCAGTCGTGTGCCTTTGTCCATTTGTAGGAAGAAAAGAGGGCTGAGTGACAGCTCCTGTTAGCCTGCATGAACAGATACCAATAAACCCTCCCAAAACCTGGACCTTAAAAAAAAAATAAATAAATAAAGAGGAAAGAGCAAGGCAGGGAGCCACATGCCTCTTTGCCTCCGGCTTATTATTAAGACACCTTCGCAGCTTAAACGCTTAAACGCGACCCAAATTAAATGGCAATTAAAAGCAAGTTACACCCTCTCCTATCTCCAGGCTTATCTCGGGTGGAAGCTAGCCATCAGCAGAGCCTCCCCGTCGGGAAATGCCATTTGGGCTGGCATCTTCGCGGAGGGTGTGTGAGTCCCCCCCCGCCACCCCGAGCTCGCCCGGCAGCGGGCGGCCCCCCCGGCGCTCCCCGGGCGGAGCCCGCAGTCACTGCGGGGCTGGGGAGCCGCTACCTGGGGGCAGAGGAGCAGGGGGGCGCCGAGCAGGCAGACAGGACTCATTCCCCGAGTGGCAGCTCCTCGGACCGGTGTCACTAAATAAATAAATCACGTACCCCTTCGGCTTTGCCACCCAGGGCTACGCAGCCTCCGTGCGTTCCCTTCTCCAAAATATATCGGCACTTGGAAATGTCGAACCAGACATCAGTGGTCTTTAGCTCTTACGTCCCCTTCCCTGCTTTTCTTTCGCCTGTTACAGATGTAATTCCGTAGATCTATATGTATTTTATGTATAATTCCATAATATCATATGTCACTGCAGCGATACTTTGTGGTCTCACCCTAGTTTTATGTTTGAAAATGCTATTTAAAGAAGCCTGTAAGATAACATATTAGGCAGCTTTAAAAGCAGGTTGGAGTGTGGGGTGGACTTAAATTCGATGTAAATGAAAGGGTAAAAAAAAAAAAATACAAACCCCAACCAAAACAAACCACATAGTTTTCATTTAGGAAAAAAAAAATACACTTAAACAGACACACATACAAATGTGCAATCTTAGATTCTGGTCAGTATTTAGAAGCAGTATAATCAACAGGAAGGAGCACTTACCTATTGAAAAGGATGGTTTAATAATATATATTTGTATATATTAGCTTTATGTCTTCCCAATAAAATGTACACAAAATACCCCCTTCGATCAGATTAGTTCCCATATTAGCCTGGGTAAGAAAAAGCATTCTAAAGAGTGGAGGAAAAATTGTATAAAAATGTTGAAAGAACCTACAGTTCCTTATTAGGCGAAGATACAATATTTATTCCTTGTCTCCTGGGATGAAGCTCCTCTATCTATTGTCCTCCCAGTTCTCAGTGCTGATGCTTAATTTTCAAAACTTCTATATTACCAAGGGACCTACGACATCAGCCAAAGAAATACCCAGCAAGTACAAAATCTGATCCAGGGAGCAGCTTTTGTGCAGAGGGAAAATTTTGTTCCTACAGGTTTTTAAGGAGGTGCATGGAAAAGCGAGAGATCTGATCTATGCAGATACATTGCAAATTCTCTCTGTCTGTAGAGATTTTTTTCTAAAAAAAATTGGGGAAATACATGAACTTTGGATTTTTCAATTTTTTCCTTTTTTTTTTTTTTTTTTTTTTTTTTTCGGAGAACCAAAAAATGTCAACTACCTTTCCAGGTCTCGTCCACGATGCAGAGGTATTTTGTGTGTGTGAGTGTGTGTGAGCGTGTGTGTGTGCGCGCGTGTGTGTGGATGTGTGTGTGCATCTGTGTGTGTGTGTATGTGCAAAAAAATGGGGGAAGAAATAAAATTTGTTTTTTTTTATTTTTTTCTTTTTTTTTTTTTTTTTTTTTTTAAATTTGGAGAGGGGAGTTTTATCCAGAGTTGGGGGTTTTTTCCTCTTCTTTTTTTTTTTTTTTTTTTTTCGGAGAACCAAAAAATGTCAACTACCTTTCCAGGTCTCGTCCACGATGCAGAGGTATTTTGTGTGTGTGAGTGTGTGTGAGCGTGTGTGTGTGCGCGCGTGTGTGTGGATGTGTGTGTGCATCTGTGTGTGTGTGTATGTGCCTGTGTGGTTGTTTCCATTTTTTTAAAATCCATATTGGACCGTTACGTTTAATTATAATCCGGCTTCAGAGATAACTTAAAGAAGTATAGAGAGAAAATTCGTTATGACATCTGTCGCCAGCAAGGGCAACTCATTACCACGTTAAAACCGTTGCCAGAACGAAAATCAGAATAATACCCCTAATAATATAATGAAGTGGAGAGAAATCACCACCAGCTCGCCAGGAATGGGGAGTTCTCGCTAAAAAAGCAGGACCTCTCCTTTCTTTCGAAACGCAGGGAAAAGAGGGGGGGAATTTTGGATCTGATTCGTTATTTTAAAAAGAAAGAAAAATAGGGGTTCAAAAAAAAAAAAAAAGAAGGGAAGGGAAAGAAGGAAGGAAGAAAGGAAGGCAAGCAGGCGGCAAAGCTTTCTCAATGTGTAACGCTGCAACATAGGGACGGGACTTGTGTGTATTCTCGGTAGTTTCCTCTGTTTGATGACTTTTTTTTTGTGTCAGCCCCAGATATTACAGCTGTGATCAGGAGGTGGATGGATAGATGGATGGATAGATGAATGAATAGATGGATAGATAGATAGATAGATAGATAGATAGATAGATAGATAGTTTTTATTTCAGTGTGTGGATTCCTTTTGTTTGACAGTATTAAGGGCAGGCTGGGCTGTTTATGATTTTTTGAACAGACCTTTATGGCACCAGCCCAAGGTAGGAAAGGATCTTTTGTTGCTGGGGTTGCCGCTCGCAGGCTTAGACGCTTCTGCAGGGGGAGAAGCTATGCAGGACAGAGTGCTTGGAAGAACCGTACCCGGGGTTTTCAATGACAAACCTCCAGTTTTGGGGTCTTCTTTTCACTTCTTCCTTTCAGATACGTCATGACGGATCAAACAGTTACCGTTTGATGCAGCTTGGATGCCTGGAGTCTGTGGCCAACTCGACCGTCGCCTATTCCTCCTCATCTCCTCTCACTTACTCTACCACGGGCACCGAGTTCGCCTCCCCGTACTTCTCCACTAACCACCAGTACACCCCACTGCACCACCAGTCCTTCCACTACGAGTTCCAACACAGCCACCCGGCAGTCAACCCCGACGCTTACTCCTTGAACTCTCTCCACCACTCCCAGCAATATTACCAGCAGATCCACCATGGAGAACCCACTGATTTTATCAACCTGCACAATGCGCGGGCACTCAAGTCCTCCTGCTTGGACGAGCAGAGGAGAGAGCTGGGGTGCTTAGATGCTTACCGCCGCCACGACCTGTCTCTTATGAGCCATGGATCCCAATATGGGATGCATCCAGATCAAAGACTCCTGCCAGGACCAAGCCTCGGGCTTGCAGCCTCGGGAGCAGACGATTTGCAGGTAAATAGCATGCGATCTCCTTTCGAGGCACCTACCCCTCCCCTCCCCCTGTCCTGGACCCCCCCACCACCCCCACCCCCATTTTCCTCTGCTCGGAATCGCTCATACAAAGGAGGGAAGGTTCATCCCAAACCCGATCCAGCGCCCGGCCCTTCCAGATTAGTAGCAGCAAGAAAAAAATGTAGAAGGGGAAAGAAAAAAAAAAAATCAACAAAACTAGCGGTCTTCTTTGGCCAAACAAACAAATCGAACAAAACCAACCTCGCGCCTGCCTTTGCCGCGTGGGTTGTGTCTCTGTGCTGGCTGAGACCGTGGGGGTCCCCCGGAGATCTGTGGGTGAATGTGCGTGTGCCAGCCCTTACCCAGTCACACAGAACCCAAATCAAACAAGAACAAACCCATCTTCTTGCTTTTCCTAAACTTTTCCTCTCTTTCGGGGCAAGGAGCACTTTGCAGCGACACATCAGGCAAGTGATTTAAGGAAGGCAAGGAGGAGGAAAAGAGAAAAAAGGCAGGGCAGGAAATAAATCTGCTTTCCGACAGACCTACAAAGGCAAACCTTCCGAGATATGAGGGAGGAAAGAGATAAACGGGAGCAAATGTTCCTCAGAAAAAAAAGTCAGAATGATAAAAATGCCTCGCTATATCCGATCTAGGTGTTAATAGGGTGAGAGATAAAGTAGGTAAAGCTAAATTCATCTGTCTATCTATCTAATCATTCATCCACTCCACACTAACTGGCACCTGCACCCATCTAAAAAATGTTATTTCTGTGTATCAAAAGCTCAGCTTTTTCGGCTCAGAAATCCATTCCCGCGCGCTAAAAATTCACCTCCGCCAAACTGAGCCGGTTGCTTAAATGAAATTGGTTTCCAAAATTGCAAAGAACGTCATCCTGTATCTAACCTCCATTCCGAAATGTGCCCCAAATCAAAAAGCAAACCTTCCTTCCCCCGACAAGCTGAGGAACTGAGGGCTTCCCCATCGGCAGGGAGAGACAAACGGGACCGTATTTACTGTACTTACTTTTCCCCCACACTTCGCTCCCTGGCATACAAAGCTGGCCGTGGTGGACTTTCCAAAAAGATGTAGCGGTCAAGGGCTTGGGGGGAAAAAAAATCAATCCGAAATTTGTAAAATGAAGGTTTATTTTCTTTCCTTAAAATCAAAGCACGGAAAATAATCCAAATAATCTACCTATATCAGGAAAAATAAATATTTTTGCCCCTCTTTTTTTCTAGGAGGAAAATAAACCCACCAACAAATAATGTTATCTTTTATACCTCAGATGAGTAAAATCTGGCTATTTAAACCTAGTTTTCTCTACTAAAATTCACCATATAATTTTGTCCTCTCTGGCCATTTTTTTTGTTTACATTTTTCACAAGGATCTCCTTATGTTACACCCCTCAAAAAAAAAAAAATCTGCCATTCACTGCTCAACCCCAACTAAAACCTATTTACTCCTTTTTATAACCACGTCTGCTGCTGATTTTTTTGTATCTGTACAAATTTTTTTTCTTTGGCAGGCACAAAGCCTTGTATTTTTCAAAAGAGGGGATTAGGAACGTTTGCAAGACAGCAGACAATGCCTAAGTCCCGGGCAAAAAAGCACCATAGTTTATCCAATTTTCGACTTAGTGCCATTCAACTGGTCATTTATGCAATGTCATCCGACCAAACAACATGTTTCCCTTCTAAAAGGAAAAAAAAAAAAGGTTGGTTAAGCTGCTAGAGGCACAGCCTCTCTTTATTTATGTAACGAAGAAGAAAATCAACAGCTTTCCTTTGGAAAATATTAATTTTTCGATCACAAGTTATTATCAAACAAAATACTTAGGTATTTGTACTTAATCTCTTCATTATTTTTTCCTCCTCCCTCTTTTTCCGAACACAAGAGGGAGTGTACAGAGGTATCAAAAGCCTGTGTGGTGAAAAGTTGAAAATATTAGTATTTGTCGTTAGGACTTGGGTGATTCAGAACAAATTTGGACTCTCGCGAATATCACTGCGGGTGTAGAGGGAAGCGTTTTGGTGGCGAGCAGAAACAGGATAGCACAGAAATACTTTTAAACCAAAATTATGGTCTAACTAGTCTACCCCTTTCTCCTTAGTCTTTCTTTTTAAAACGTTCATCAGCATATGCCTCATTTCAAATGCAACAAATGTAAATATACTTTTCCCTGCACAGAATTTTAAGTGAATGTCCAATAGTTTCGAGGGCGGTTTAAGTCAGCCTAACAGATGCAAACAGTCTTGGAGCTGGAGTGGCATCTTTCAGTGCCCTAAAAAGATTTTCCATGGGCAACAAAGAAAACTGTCACACCTTTTCCCATCACCGCTTTAATTTATGCTCAGTCGCCAAGTTTTTTTCATATTGATTTCATAATCACTTTAAGGCAGAACACTTAAAATAAAAAAGGGCCTTGAAAAGGAAGGTCTTACAGGGCCAGGGCCAATATGGTGAAAGTGGGGGAGAGAGCCAGGACTGTAAAGATTGTTTTGTAAAGTGGGGTTTTTATTATGCACCGACTCTCTCCGCATTTACTTAACTCTTCACGGGCTGTTGAATAGGTTAACACCCTTAAAGGCCTCTTTCATGTCCAATACCTCGTTTGTTTGTAGAGGAAAATGCGTCTTTAACACATTTCCACTGGGCAAAGATTTAGGTTTGGTTTGTTGTGTTTTTTTAACCCCAACATAAGGAAAAACCCAAAGAAAACCCAACCCTTTCAAGTCTTTTATCACTCCAATAAAAATATTTATTAAGGAGGGCGAAGATCCCCAAATAATCAGCCTTGTAACAGGAGAATAAAGAAGTGAGATCTCTTCGGACGCGCACCAGAAGCCCTAGGCAGGTTTTTTTGATGGTTCTTCACCCCTCGCTCACACATGGGTGCCTGTGTGTGTGCGCACACAGATGCATATTCATCCCCACCTATGTGCGGACACACGCATTGTTACAGCACCCTCACGACTCTGTGGAGCCGGCAAAGCCCAATAGGTCATCTGTTGTTTGTGCTCTTTGTCTACTTCTGTGCACACTTTCTAAGTCGGTGTATGCGTGTCCCAAAACGCATCTGTGAATTTAGCTGTGTGCCCCAATATAAATATACCGCTAATCATACAAAACCAGAAAAGTACATTTTTAGCTTTGTGCGTGCAACTGTGGAGCGGGAATGCACTTCTCTCAAAAGTACTTGTTTGTCTGTCTATCCTGCTATGTAACTGCCCGTCTAAGTTGCCAGTTCGGGAAAAATTCTTGTTTAAATGGCAATGAAAGGAAAAATTATTCTGCGTTTGGTGGGGTAGGGGCAGATGGCAGGATGGAGGGGGGATTTCACTTGGGTTCTCTGAGAGTAACTGTGTTTTTCCAGTTCACCTTAACTATTGTTCCTGGGCGAATCATGTAACAAAGCAAAAGCTGTGTGATCTCTCTGCGGGTTTCTGTGTCTGATTTCTTTCTTTCCTTTCTTTCCTTGTTTTCCCCTCATTACTTAAGAGCTCAGTGGAGGCCCAGTGTGGACTTGTACTCAACGGGCAAGGAGGTGTGATAAGAAGAGGTAAGAGGTTACAAATACTTGCGTCTATCAGTTTCTGTAAACACACATCCCTTTCCATCTCTCCCTGCCTTTCCCACCCCCACTGTTTGGCGTAGTTTGGATTTACTGCCGAAAAAGTGGTAATTTGCCGTTTGTCAGAAGTAATTTCAAACTCGCTTAGAGCACTTCGCATTTCACAGTCCATTTGCACTTTACAAACGATCTGCTCCTCGGTAGCTCTCGGGTACTCCCTCTGAATTCAGAGTTTTCCTGAGTCGGTGTAACATTCCGCGTTTAATCGGGATGATCCCTGATAGTTTGAGAAACGTGTTCCCTGTCGCCGGGCTGTTAAGTCGGTAGTTTGATCTCATGAGAGGGGGGGAAAAAAAAGGAGTTTTTTGGGAAACGTGGTTTCAGTGGCGCTACAGACCGGTGTGGAACTAGCTTTTGAGTGTCACTTCATTTGATAACCATCTGTCAGTGTAAATATCGAACATCAAAGTTAGAGGAGAGGTTTGGAACTCGTGTTAAGTACACGTCTCTACAGAATTTGTGAAATTTGAATGTCCCGGGAAGTTTGTTATTACCGTCATTTACTCTGAAGAGAAACAACACTGGTCTAAAGGCCTAACGTAGGAACACATTTTCCATACAAGCTTAAACACATCCTTTCACTCCCGATATAAACCACGTAATTCGGTCGGGGAGAGGACACTTGGCGACTCAGCCTCTCACAATGCTCATTTTCCTGTGCTAGTCTCCCCTTATTCATGATATACAGCAGAAAAAACAGATACTCAGGAGATATTTTGGGCGACGTGACACTATTGTGTCAGCCGCGCTGCCTCCAGCCGCTTCCCCGGACAAACTTTATTCCCACTGCACCAGAATTGTTTATTGCGGGAGCACCAGTCCCGCACGCCGGCGGTGGGCGGGGATGGGGAGCGGGCTCTCCCGCCGCTGTCCCGGGTGGGGGCTTTGCTCGGGGTCTGTCCCTAGCCCGGCTCAGGCCGGAGCCGGGGCCGGGCGGAGCGGCGGCCGTGGTGCTGAAGGGACAGCTCCGCTCGGCGCCGCGCCCCGCCCGGCCCCGCCTCGCCGCCGCGCTCGGGGACCGGCAGCGGGGACACGGCGGGGACGCCACAGTCGCTGTCCTGTCCCCTCCCTGGGCACCGCTGGGGAGAGGGATTGTAAACTCCTGCTCCCGCCCAAGTCCTTGCGTCTCGGATTTCAGCGTATTCTAATTATTCCTAGGAAGAGGATAATTATCCCTAGGAAGAGCGGTGGTTCTTTCGGGTTTGATCCGAGAGCTGACCTCCGAGAAGCGGAGATCGTTAGCTGAAAGAGAGGCAAGCAGAGTCCCCATCAGCTGGGGTCTGTGTCTGCCGTGTTTGACGGCGGTTCTCATTTCCCAGTTGAAGGGCGGCTCAAAGCTCAGCTCAGCTCAACTCCAGTTTATTCAGCTCTGCAGCTCCTCTTAAGGAGACTCCAATTACCTGTGCAGATGATGGTAGTGGTGTCTCTCTCTCCCTCTCTCTCTTTTTAAAGAGATCAAATTATTCAAGCATTTAAAGATTGATACTAAAAGAAATCCAGCATGAAAATGCAAGGTCTTCTGAACCCTGATTTAAGTGCTGAACTACTCCTGCACTGCTATCTGTTTCTTGGCATATGCAGGGAAGATATCAAAGGCAAGAGTATAAGTTTCAAATGTATATTAAAAATACATAATAAATATTTTGTCCGACTTCAAAAAAAGTGATAGGCGTTAGCAGTAATCAAAACATCCTGAGCCTAAGCGCTATACAGTATCCCGTATAAATAAATCACACCTCTTTTCTAGTAATAGATCAGTAAGAATATATTAACTCGAGAGTGGCTTCCCTAATATTTTAAACATCTCGTGTCAGACTTTTTATTTTATTTTTGTCACTAATATATACATATATTTTGTACAAGGTTGCTTTCGAGTGTTTTAGATGCAGTAGCAGGAGAAAAAAGAAAGAAAGAAAGAAAGAAAGAAAGAAAGAAAGAAAGAAAGAAAGAAAGAAAGAAAGAAAGAAAAACTTCCCAGATACTTTCCCAGAGGAACACACCTTTCCCTAGTTGTCTCTAAAAAAAAAAGCAATCCCTAAAAAGTGTCATGGTTTGCACCCAGGTATTAATACTGGTGGGAATGACAAACATCACAAACATGGCTCTTCCCTGCTTCCATCTCTGGCTGCCATTGCACATATCAGCTGCTTTCTAGATTGTTTAGTGCAGTGATTTGGTGTTTGCTTTTAATGAGGCTCGGAAAGTAAAAGACTTTTGCAAGGCTTAGGTGCTGGCGAGCTAATTACCAGCTAGAGAAAATATTTGCCACTGATTCCAGGGCAGAGATCCCCATGCTATCACTTTCAGTTAATGGTGTGCAGGATTTAGCCCGGAGCTTCCCTGCTCTAACCATCAGAACCAATAATCTTTACTTTTCCTACTGCTCGTGTATCGATAGCTTCTCTAGCCTCAGGCAGCAGCTTTGATATGTTAATATTTCTGAGTACCAAATTCTGCAGAGATCATATTAATGTTGTACATACAGAGTGGAGCTTTGCCTTAAAGTTGAATATTCAGATCGCTCTTTTCAAAAGAAATCACTTGAAGAAATGAAGCTTCTATTTACAGGAGTCGTCTGTGTTTTTTAATCATTAAAAAAATCCCTCCCCTCTTATATTTTCCTATTAATCGTCTCAGGCTTTTATTACATACCATTCCCTTTTAATTCCTCTCTAGGTTGCCATTTTAAAAGCAGAATAACCTAAGTCCTGTTTGATTTTTCTCCCTCTCTTTTCCTTTCTTTCTCTCTTTGTGATTTTTTTTTTTTTTTTGGGGGGGGGGGGGCGAGGGTGGTGGGAAGGGAGGGAGGACCTACACACTTCTTTTGAAAATGCCATCCAAGCCCCCTTCCACACCCATCCCTTCCCCATCCCTCGGACATGAAGTGTATGCAGGCTTGGTGTCCTCACCTCCATATATTTGGATTAAAAAGACAACACGGTGACATTTGGCCTGCATCGTTTTATGAAATCGAGATGGCAAACTCCAAAAAAAGCTCTTGTTTCGCTTTGTGATCATCCATCGTTCCTGCCCCAGGCTAATTTCAGAAGCTTAAATACTGCTATCGCCTCTGGGCCATGAAGAGAGAAGGGCCAACCTATCGGCAATAGCTCTTTTTCGATTGCCCTTGGCAACATAAAATACAAACTACTTTGAATCAAAACATTTTTGGGGAATTAATATGATCTGAACTCTGCACGTTTTAAGAGATCTTGAGTTTGTCAAATCGCTTAGAGGTGACTGACATCCGAATGCATTAGTGCCTGGCTAGGAACAACCCTCAGATCTTATTTGACTGGGAAGAAAAAAAAAAGGAAAAAAGAAAAGAAAGAAAGAAAGAAAGAAAGAAAGAAAGAAAGAAAGCACCCTCTTAAAAGCTCAAGCATCAGTCACCATAAAGTCCACCAATAAAATCTGAAGAAAGACGCTCCCCTTTCTCGCCTCTGCCTTTTATGTACTTAGTCGTGGCATCACCTCTCATTTGAAAGGCACTAGCTGAGTCTTGGTCCTCTCCCCCATTCTAATTTTAATTTTTGACACTCCAAACTACCGCCTAAGGATTCAGTCATTAGGGGTGAGGTTTTGGGCAGGAGGTTGGAGGGGGAGGGTGAAGGCAGGGGCTGAGGGCTTTGCACTTCGCCCCAGGAGAATCTTCTCCCGTGATGTTCTATGTGAAAATCAAGGGGGAAAATAGGGTTCTGGCGTGTTACCATCTCCCCAGGCATCCCGGATGAAGGAATGGGTACCTGGGACACAGAATCACAGAACCAAAGAATCATTTAGGTTGAAAAGGACCTTCAAGACATCCTCTTTCACCTTCTTCTGGCAAACCGCCTGGAGTTCCCTCGCCACCTTTGTCCTCTTCCATTCCCCGGGTATTGCCTAGGAATCCTCACCCGCTTCTAGCACCCGGCCCCAGAGCCCGGCCGTGTCCCCTCCAGGTCTCCGTGTCCCCTCCAGGTCTCCGTGTCCCCTGCAGGTCTCCGTGTCCCCTCCAGGTCTCCCAGAGCCCGGCCGTGTCCCCTCCAGGTCTCCCAGAGCCCAGCCGTGTCCCCTCCAGGTCTCCGTGTCCCCTCCAGGTGTCCCAGCCCTCCCGGCAGCTCCAGGCGCTGGAGCGGGGCTCGGTGTGGATTAGGATCCATCCCTGCGGCTGGACCCCGTCCCCGCGCCCAGCTTTGAGCCCACCGAGGGAAGGGCAGATCACCTCCTTGTCTTCCCTTTGTTGGGCCCTTCCTTCCCTTTTCCCGGCTCTTCTGAACCTTACAAGAGCCTCGGGACTCGTGTAATAGCCCATCATTGTGTTCAGATCTTAACGCGCTGTCATTAGCGCTGTTGTCTTCTTCTTTTCTCTTCTTTTCTTTTCTGTTCTAAGGGCCAATTTAAATCGCATTAAAAATCCTAAATAGCTGGCTTAATTAATGGCTTTCGCGGCTCCAGCTGAGATAATCTCCAGCCGACTAAAGCCAAATCATTCGGCGACTTCCAGCTCGCCAGGAGTTTGGGGCTGGGAAGAGGATGGAGGGGTTTTGTCGGGCTCTGCCCGGACACCGAGCTCTCTGCCGGGCCGGGAGGGAGCGGAGCCGGCAGCACCCTCCGCTCCCGGCCGCGGCCAGACCTTGGGCAGAAGTTTGGCGAAGAGATCAGGCTGGGTTTTGAGAGCTTTTTTTGTTTGTTTCTTTGTTTTCCTGGTGGTTTGTTTTATTTTGGTTTGATCTTTCGGCGAGGTTTTGTTTGCCTGTTTGAGGTTTGGTTGTTTTTTGTGGATTTTTATTTTTTTGTCCTTTCTTTGTGTTCCCTGCTGACCTACCAAAGATATATTTTCTGGCTGCGGACAGCAGATTTTGGTTTGATCTTTCGGCGAGGTTTTGTTTGCCTGTTTGAGGTTTGGTTGTTTTTTGTGGATTTTTTTTTTTTGTCTTTTCTTTGTG